TTAGTCTATTCTTCTTCATTTTCTCTTTCTTTTTATTAACATATATTAATTGTACAAGGGTTTCATTGTGATATTTGCATACATGCATATAAAGTGCTTTGATCACATTTGCCCCTCTATCACTTCAGCCCACTTTTTCTGACCTCATTTAAAGCTGTTTCTTCTGTGAGGTTTAAGCCATTTGGCCAGGCCACCTCTGGCCCTTTTTATTACAATCAACTATGAAATTTTGCCACCTCTTCTTACTCACTGAAGACTCTGGTAAGTTCTTCCAGAACTCCTGGCCCTCTAACTCTTCTTATCATTTCAGAAGATGTTACTTCTCACTTGAAACTCTTAAACCCACACACTGTGCCTTCCCCTTCAATGACCTTTGCCTCCGCTCTCCTGAACCCATGAGCATGGAATGACCAGACTACTAGGATAATTCACTTACAATTGTTCTAGCACCGAGACATTAAATTCAGATATCCCACTCTCAAACAACAATCTCCTGTATTTCCATTGTACCTACTCAGTGACTCTCAATTACTAGGCCTCTGACTTTCTCAGGACATCCAGCCCCCTTCTTTGTTGACTTCCCTTTCCACCAAGTTTAGGTTCTGTCCTCCATCCTTGCAAGCATTCTTGTCTCAACAGCTGAAACTGTCATGGTTCATAGTAGCACAAGACAACTTAGGCAATGACAATCAGTGAAGAATATGTGTGTTGGATGTAACAGTCAAATGAAGAGTATAATTAATGAGAGATGGAATCTGTAATAAAAGAAAGACTACCTAATGAGATGCAGGAAGAAACTGAAGTATAAAATGAAATGCAGTAGATGGGGTGCACTTTCCAGGCAAACCTCCAAGCCTGCATGGTCCTTAATTTGACCCTTTTTTGAACCTACACTCAGGCTACTGGGGGAAAAAAAAATCTCAATATTTGTCAGATAGATATAAGTTCATAGTGGCAAACTTCAATAAAAATGTTTAGACCACAGGGTAAGAAAACACTGTATGTCAAAACTTCTGGCATACAGAAAAAGCAGGGATTGAAGAAAATTCTCATGCCTTAAACACTTATGTTAAAAAAGAAGGAAGGCTAAAAATAAGTTAAAATTGTAATTTAAGAAGCCAGAAAAAGAACACAGTAAACCACAAGGTACTCAACAAAGGATATAAATCAATGCAACAGAAACGATGAATACAATAGAAAATATCAACAAAGCTTAGTTGACTCTTTAGATGCAGTAACAAAATAGATCAAATTTAGCAAGGCTGATCAAAAAAAATAGTGACATGGCTCAAATGGTAGAGCACCTGCTTTATGAGTGCCTACTCTATAAGCACAAAGCCCTGAGTTCAAAACCCCAGTACCCACAAAAAGAAAACAAAAATGATGACATAATTTCATTAATCAATATGGAGACATGTAAGAAAAAAATGGAGACATATTCATTGTGGTGCTTGATTTTATGTGTCAATGGGTTAGGTTATAGGACATACAGACACTTAGTAAAACACTGTATCTGGCTGTACCTTTGAGAGTGTTTCTGGAAGAAATTAGCATTTCAATCCATACACTGGGTAAAAGTAAAAAAGAATGACAAACTCCCAAACCAGAAGAGTAGTTACCTTGGGTCAGGAAGGAAGCAGGTGGGTAGACCAGGTGAAAATACCATGTAGGAGATCCAAGCTTTTGTTCACGTTCTTGTTCTCAGGCCAGGTGATGGATGAGTAGGTGAATTGAGGATCTGGTTCTGCTTAAAATAATGATAATCAGTTTTTCTGGACATTTCTAGCAATTTTCTGTGTTTCTGTATTCAATCTGCTCTGTGAAAACTACTTCAAACTTTATTTTGTTCAGTTTGCCAGCTCCCCCCTTCAATTTCACAAAATACATGACTTTGTTCTCTTCTCTCCTTATGCTGCATTACGTAGGTATGTCTTCCTCTCTTTGTTCTAGCCCTGACAGAGATCCCAGGCCCACTCGTTCCAGTTAGGGACATCACAAAGTATGCCCCATTATTTATTTGCTCCCTCCTGTCAGTTTTTGAAATTGCTCAAACCTCTCCCAATTAAAATAAAATTCTCTGAGTTCTCATTGTATTTCTCCTCTCCTGCAACATTTATGTACCCTAATACAACATTTCTCTGTCACCTGCTACCTCTTACTTATTCCATCTTCCTCTCTATACCCCCAGTGTGGCTTAATTCAAAGGACACTTTTCAAAAGTGTTGAATTTACTTGGCCCCTCAGTAGGAGGGACCTGTGTTGGAAATGTAGGTCCCAAAAGTGACCACATGGAGAGGAGTGATCTGGCCAAGAGATTCTTTATTGCTGGGTGGGAGAGGAAGAGGGGGGGGGGAGAGAGAGAGAGAGAGAGAGAGAGAGAGAGAGAGAGAGAGAGAGAGAGAGAGA